CAAAAAATAATTCATTACAACGAAGAATACGTGAGGGAAATTAAAACCAATTTTCATAAGGAGGTGAGAGCAATCTATAGAGCCTGCAATTCTATCAAAGACAAAGCACATCGATAACAGAGTACGCCTGGACTCTAAGGACATGCGATTTATCAACAAACAACGAGAACGATAGGACGGAATAGGGTCTACAAATTTCAACGGACGCAAAGCAAAGCGTATAAAAGCCCTCTGAACAGACTTCAATCTGTTCACATGAACTGTATGAAAAGGTCTCCAAACAAATACCGCATATTCTAACCTCGACCGAACTAAAGACCAATACAACAGTTTAAGAGTATAAGGATCGGAAAATGACGAGCAGTTGCGACGAATAAAGGCCAACATCGCGAATGATTTAGAAACAATAATGTTTATGTGGGTTGTGAAGGTGAGCTTGGAGTCAAAATAAACATCCAAGTCTTTAAAATCAGTAATTAATTTTAGCGGGACATTCGAAAAACAGTAAGAGGTTAAAATTCTAATTTTAGTTTTTACTATTTTTTGGGAGCCGATAACTCGAAGTGTAACCATCATAAAAAGAAAAAAAAATGTCCACACAATTTCATATATCACGTAAGTGACGAATACAGAATTGTAGACTTCGTATATTTTAAAACCACAAGTAAATATTACGAATGCCTTCCTTCAAATACACTATTATTCGTACAGAGATTTGTTCGTTAATTTATGCACGGGTTTTGTAATATAAACGAAAGTTTTCATAAATTGTACTGAAATAATGCCTTACGAAACTCCTTTCGTTATATTTACGAATAGTTGTGAAAAATGTGTTCGTATTATGAACGAAAGTTTCGTACGCTCTACGAAAACCAAGATTACGAAAGTTTTTCGTAGCATTTTTACGAAATTTTATTTTCAGTGTATGTATAATAAATTATTGCAGCGGATTCTCACCAAGTCTCATGAAAAAATTTCTTATATTTTGTTTGGGTAATAAAGTGAATGGGGCATTCAAGTCAAGTCAACCTTCTTCTTTTTGGCATAGATACGTATATATATATGTATTTATCACAACGATAATAAAACTCTCAAGAAATTTCTGTTAGCTACATCAAAATTATCCACATATACATACATACATGCACCGCTGTTTATGCATACAAACAACCACCCAGCCACTCATGTGTAAATAGGAAGACTTTACGCACTGCTAATTAAAGACAAACGCTCAGGATAATATACTATATAAATATGTTAATTGCATAAGCATATCAGTAAGTACTTATACACACACACACACACACATACTTATGTATGTATATGGAGGCACCCAGCAGAAGGTTGAAACAGAGTAACAAATAAAAAAAGACACTTAATCGCATTACGAGGAATTTCAAAGAATTTGCTTAATTTATATGCTTAGAATTAAAGTCAAAACGAAAGAGGGGCACAAATGGAGTGCTTTTATTTTTTAGCGGGCTTGTGTTCCATTTTTCGCTTTGATTACTTTCTCAAAATATTACATATTTTTGAATTTAGTTCTGTTTTTGTTAATGCTTTCTTTAAAAAGTACCTTAGAACTTCTTTCCACCTGCTTGTTTATAATTAGTGTTCTATCCTTATTAAAGGCATTAAAATTTTCCTATCATGCACATTGTGATTCGTGTTTCCAAGGGTCGGTACTTAGATAAAGTACGAGAATTGAGAATGAAGAACACAAAAGCTATTTTGAGGTCCTTGAAAAATCCTGTTATGTGCAATAGATAGAAAATGGAGAAACGCTGCACTAGATGTATATAGCTAAAGGAAGAATATGTATATTTAGAATTTTAAATCCCCTTTTAATATATTTTATTTAAACAGAACTGACTTATCAAACTGCCATCGTCTAATTAAAGTGTCTTAAAGTTATACACTTGGACTTTGTTTTTTTAAAGCTCTTAGATGAAATTTTAAACTAACATTAACTTTCACCATAAGGAAGACCCTTTTCAAAGCAAATTTCGAACCCATTTCACCCAGCTAATAAAAAGGTAATCTCCATGAAGATTGGCAGTTATACCTCGTTTCGCCGCAGAGCAACCATCAGAAGTGGCGATGATGAATGATTGCCGTCAATCGGTTTAGCAATACCCTTATTTAGCCACATGGAGAAAAAACGATTTAGTTACTAGCAACTGCTAAGAACGTGCAGTCAGCATTTTGATTTATGATGAGTTGGAATAGGGATAACGAGCCTGTGGTCACCAATGCCGAATAGAGCGCAAATGAACTGCTCGAAGTTATTGATGAGCATGCATTAAGAATTGCCAATTGTTTAGGTTTTTAAATGCAAATAGAGTTTATAAATACAATGCAAGTAAATATATTAAATTACTTTAAGCAGAAGCGACAATGAACAAATTTAAATAGAATTTTGGCATAATTAATAATAATGCTCTCACACGGTAGATACGTTACAGAAAAAAAAACGAGTAAAAAATTTCTGAAATAGACTGAAATATATGTATAGAAAAACCCACTCTAAAAATAACTAAAACAAGTCATTCACACAAAAAAGTGTGTAAAGGTAAATCAAATCTTAAAGTAAAAGTAACATGAATATGAAATTACATACTTAAGCTGCTATGAAAATAAATTATAAAGGGGAATTCCCTAACCAGATTTCTAAAAGACTACGGTTAATAAAGAGCGGTATTATGAGTTGCTAAGCGAATGCATTTGGCGAAGCGGGGGAAAATAACAGTCGCCATATATGTATTCAATAAATTGACAGATGCGGCGAAGTGAACGGCGAAAATGCGGAAGTGATGATACCTAACATTTATTTTCACCGTTCGTTCGCCGTATTTTTCGCTTCTTCGCTTCTGCACTAATAATTCAAACTGGTAAGATTCGTGTGAAGATTAATTCGCTAAGCCAACTTCAATAAAATTGCTTTTTTACGCGTACTAAATCGAACGTGTAAAACGGAATCAATTCTTTCTTTCCTAAACCATGTTAAATCGAGACCATGCAAAAAAGACCGTGTCAAAACAAAATTAGGCCTATTTCAGAACGCTACTCTAATTTAGAGTGTCTAAAAAAATGGTATAACGGTAACTTTCAGAAACACGAAAACTGCGATATGTTAGTATCTACTGAAGATTATTCACTGTAAATCGGTGATGGGCACCGCCTTGCCCGCGGGCAAAGCTCTTTTAAGCTTTCTATTAGGGCTGTGCGATTAATTGATTACTCAAAATTTTAATTAATCATAAAGTGAATAACTCAATTATTCGATTAATTGGAAATAATGATTACTCAAAAGTTCAGTTACTCGAGTAATCAAGATTTTTGATTAACCAAAAACAAAAATATTTGAGTAATTTGCTTTATGATTAATCAACATTTCGAGTAAAATGAGTAATCAACATTTCATCTCTTTACATATGTATAAAGTAGTTAAAGTTCCTTGACACTTTGAAAACAACGTTTCTGTTTTCAAAAATTAAAACGAAAAATTTTTTCATATACAGAATGTAAAAGAAAATAAGCTTTTTCCAAAGTAAACTCTTTTAACGAGCAAAATTATTTTTTTGAGTAATCATATTTCAAGTAACTCGATTAATCATCGTTTTGAGTAATCAAAATCTTGATTACTCGAGTAATTGATTAACCGAATAATTGATTAACCAACTTGCTCGAGTAATCGAATAATCGCACAGCCCTACTTTCTATACATTTTGTATACACGGTTGCAGAGTAAAAGCTCCTCTGACCATAGCTGCTCTAAATATATATTTACAATTGGGTGGTTCACAAGGTGTCGTACTTGTCGTATTCTTGTATGTTGTAAAGTTTTTAACGGCTAAATAAATGTTTAGAGGACTTGAAATCACCACCAACTATTTTTTAATTGTGTGAAATTTCATAATAAAACTTTTATGTTAGCTTGCGAATTCCTTAAATATAGTTTTCGCCGTTTAAAGTTTATGACATACAACAGTACGACAGTATACAACACCTTGTGAACTCCTTAAATAATTTTTAGACTAGAAATAAGGATATTATAATTTTTTGGGAAAATGTGTGTGGCCACGCCCACTTTTGATTACATGTACTTATATGTATGTATATCTTGATAAACGCTCCACCTATTTCGCCCAAACATGGCGCAGTTGTTGGGCTTGGGAAAACATACTAAACGGCTGAAAATTTTTAAAATCGAACAATAACCACGCCCACATCCCATATATTTTTCGGCTATATATAATATTCTATTTTACTTTAAGCCAGCCAACAAGTACACGAAAACTTCACACACAAAAATATAATAAAAAATGTTCTGGTGTCAACAACATCATCACATTTCCCACTCTAATCTACAATGGCAAATTAATGATACGTGACAGACGTCAACTCACGTGCAACCGTGCTCTAACGTCCGAAAAACTACTAAGAACGTTGTGTCCGGGTAAGTTGAAAATGCAACGTCATGTGCCACACTGAAAAACTGGCACGTGCAATATTGCTACGCAATGTATTTTTTTTTTGCGACCAGTAATTAATAATTGGATAAGGATAAACATTGTTACTTTTCTTAATGATTTGCGTGAAATTTAATTGATTAAAGGTATATATATATTTTCCAACTTTATATAGCAGCATAAATGAGTTATTAATTAGCGTGCACTTCTTAGCTGCTATTTTTTTGGTATTTTCAAGCTAATTTAAATATAATAAATTGGAGGTGAAAGTTCAATGACATTTTGATCTAATTGGAGACCAGCAGCAATTGAACTCTTAGTTTCACATTAAAATGAATTAGTCAGCATTTTTTCGATATGACAATTTTGAGGCAGGTCGGTTCGTTTGAAGAAGCTCTGTTGAACTGCATTAAATTTGCCATATCGGAAAAATACCGATTTATTCCCTTTGATAATTTGATTAACCGATTCAAATGTATGTAAACTTGTGTTTATAATTTCAAATTAAAAATATAATTTTCTACTTACCGGTATATGGTTAAGTGTGAAATGCAAATCGGCGCGCGGTCGCGACGGCGGTGTACTACAGTTGGCGCGTAAAATATCACCCGGCTCATAGCGCGCATGTTCGGTAAAGAGTTGGGGACGTTTCTCAGGAAATTCTGTGCGAGATAAAAAGAAAAAACATTTGCTTCTTTAATTTCCATACATAATAAATATTCTATTATGCTGCAGTAGTTTTCTTTAGTCTTGTAAAAAGATATGCTAATAATTTTACACTTTTTTTCTTTTTAACTGACACCTGACACAAACAAATAAACAAACACATTTTCAGTCGATTTCAATTTAGTTAAGCTATATATTCTCTTACAAAAAACCAAGCGCCACATTGTATTCCATTTTGGAAAAAAGGCGTACAAAATCAAATATATCGAAAAATACTTAGAAGAGATAGGGTAATATATGTAACGGTGTTTTAAAGATTTTGGTATGAGGAATTCAGAAAAAAGATTTATCTGTACTTTTAAAATGTCCATTAAAAATATAAGATTAACTTTTTTTTCTTTATTCTTGACTTGAAACTAGTATACAATGCGCTTTTAAAATGTTTTAAATACGTATTTTTGCTTTTCTTGCGTCAAAGAATTCATTTCCATGGTCGCAAGCAAAAACAAATTTTAAATTTTTTCTATGTTAAAGCTGCATGCGGTTTTTAGATCAAAAAAGAAAAAAAGATCAAAACTTTTTTTTTAAGGTCATTTTAAATGTCTGATTGAATGAGAAGTTTCTTCGTATAAAAAAAAAAATTGTTCGACATACAGTATCGGTCATGTCTATAGCACGCCACTTCAAAGTGATATTGTGTGCCGCATACGTTTATTTAATTATTTTTTAAGAAATTTCAATTAAGATGCACTTCTTTCTCTAACAAACCCCATATAAACCCAAGTTTAACAATTTGTAGAAAACTTCAAAAAAGTGCAACAAATTTTCACCTAAGTTTCAAACTTTTTTCTCGGAAGTGTTAGAATTTTTTTGAGTACACAGTTTTTTAGCCACTGCAATTTTAGTCTGATAATGTGCAAATTTCAAGTGGCTACGAATTACCGTTAATTTTTTAGAATTTTTTTGTCGCATTGGCGTCCATATAATGAATAAACTATTTATTTGTATATGGATGAAAACCGCAACACCTTTGGCGAAAAAAATTCCAAAAAATCAACGATAACTTTCAGTCACTTTAAACTTGCACATTATCAGACAAAAATTGATTGGGCTATAAAACTGTGTATTCAGAAAAATTCAACCACTTCCGAGAAAAAAGTTTGAAATTTAGGTGTAAATTTGTTGCACTTTTTTGAAGTTTTCTACAAATTGTTAAACTTGGGTTTATATTGGGTTTGTTAGAGAAAGAAGTGTATTTTAATTGAAAATTCTCAAAAATAAATAAGTAAACATAAGTTGCACACAATATCACTTTGAAATGGCGTGCTATAGATATGACCGATACTGTACATAAGTACATAATTTTGTGTGCTACGCAGCAATGGCAGTAAAAAATTTCAAAAATCAAATTGAAGCTTGCACTCTGTTTCGCTAAAACTTGATGGGCTATAAAACTGCATACTCAAAATCTTTCTAGAGAATCTTAAAAAAAAAATATAAAACAAAGAAAAAATTACAAAAACAAAACGCCGACACATGTGAATTTAATTTTGATTTAATTTTCCAAAAATATTTTCATTTTAATTCGCTTCGTGCTTTAAAAACACTCCAACTTTAATATAGCAAAAAATTAAAATATAAAAAATTTTTTGTATTTTTTTTTGCATTTGTGTTAAAGCCTGTTCTTTTACAAAAAAACGATCGAATTAACAATAGAACAAATATTTCTGTCCAAAAATAAGACACAGACGTATCTAGCCATAAAGTCATAAATGCACGTTTGAGTCGCTACGTGTGTACGTAAATATACAGTATTGGACATATCTATAGCACCCCCCTTTCAAAGCGATATTGTTTGTCACTTATGTTTAATTATTTGTTTTTAAGAATTTTTAATTTAAATACAGTTCATTCTCCAACAAAACCCATATAAACCAATGTTTTAAACTTTTTAAAAGACCGCAAAAAAGTGCAACAAACTTTCCCTTAAATTTCAAACTTTTTTCTCAGAAGCCCTAGAATTGTTTTGAGTACACAGTTTTATAGCGCATTCAATTTTGTCCAATAATGTGCAAGTTTCAAGTCGCTAAAGATTACCGTTGATTTTTTAGATTTTTTTTTGTCTCATTTGCTTCCATATATGGACCAAACACAATTTATTTTTATATGGCAGAAACCCGCAAAATCCTCGGCGAAAAAAATTCTAAAAAATCAACGGTAATTTTTAGGCTCTTGAAACTTGCACATTATTAGGCTAAAATTTAATGGGCTATAAAACTGCGCATTCAAAAAAATTCTACCGCTTCTGAGAAAAATGTTTAAAATTTGGGTGAAAATTTGTTGCACATTTTTGCGGTCTTTTTAAAAGTTTTAAGCTTGAGTTTATGTGAGTTTTGTGACAAGTGGCAAACAATATCACTTTGAAATGGGGGTGCTATTGTAATGGCCAATACTGTATATTTCACCTTAATATCAACATACCCAGCTAGCACATTTGCTAGACAATTTCTGATATCAGACAAGTCGGAATAAAAAGTTGACTATTTAGACAAGTCTTACAGGTTTCGTACAGATTTCTGTGCGAAATGTTTGGAGAATTTTTTTTATTTCCTTATCCGATATGTCTGATCGAATTATGTCCGATTTCTGCCATACACGTCTGGTAATTCTTATCTCCCATGATTATTTGGTCAAGTATCTGTTAGATATCCGTCAGAGTCGTCGGTCAGACTTTCCCACGTCGTGTCGGTTAGATTTCTTGTCAACCTCCCCATACCCTTCTCTGACCGATATCGGCCAAAATCATACAGATTTCTGACTTTTTTCCCGACGAGTCTGACGGATATCTAACAGATTTCTAGCAATTTTGCTAGCTGGGTAGATATACTATTTACATAACAAGGTATATGTATGTGTATGTTCCTACCGGTATGCGGATCTTTCAATACAAATATTTTATGTTTTCCTTAAATATTTTTGCAAGAGTATTTACTATACGTATGTACATATGTATATGTATAGATTATATGTATAATTTCAAATATGCATACATATGTATGTATGTATGTCTATTTGCAAGTACACATTGCATACCTACTTTGGAAAACATCAAATATGTATGCACATATTTTATTTACGTATTTCATGCCAAGACGGGTGAAAATTAAACGAAAACATTTGTTTACAAAATATACAAATACTCAATCTGAAGATAGTTGAAATTACTTTGGTCGCATATACATATGTACATACATATGTATGTACAAATAGTCAGATATTTATGTACATACGGATATACGCGGGTATCTACCTATTTGTTTGACTTGCCAAACCGGTGTTGAAGTGTGAATATTTACAGTACACCAATACATAAGTATGTACATAAATAAGTATGCATATATGTATGTTTGTATATATACATATGTAGCTTACGCCGGATCACAACATATAAGATAAAAAAAGCACTTGCAATCAAAAATTAATTTTCTTAAAAGTGTGAAGTTTAACTGAAGACAAGATCGCTACTATAAAACCTATTTAATGAATCAAAGAATATGTTCAGCAATAAGTTCCCAACAAATCTGGTTGTAACAAAATATTTAATTTATTTAAACCGCATTGCAAGTGTGCCCAGAAATCGAAAATTAGTTCTAAAGACAAAGAATGGGTATTCCGGATCTCTTTATGTAAATTGGAATAGATTTTGGCAAATATTCAACTCTATCGACACAGCGGGAATACCATCAAGCTCAATGAATTTTTTTTTTTAACCAAGGCGGATCGAGGCAGTTATTATTACTTGATAACAAAGGATGCGAGATTGCAATCGAAAAAATACCGGAGACAGTAAAAGTTACTAATTAAATATCGACCATATACAGTTGGATATGCCCATAGTAAAGCTAGTGAAGGAGAGTTCCAAGAAAATTTTGACGTACAATCAGCACCACCTCCAGAAAGGACTTAGTAGATGACATTGCTACGAAGATTTTCACCAAAGTCGAAATTTACGTTAATAATTCGTTCCACGGTTGAAAATAATGGATATTTCTTTCATCCAGGAAACATTTTGATTCGCATAATTATTCATTAAAGCGCAAAATTAGTAACTGCTAAGTGGTGGGTTTTGCCAGATTTTAAAAACATTATAACTTTTTTGTTTGTGAATAAAGCCTAAGCGATATTAGCAAGGTCGTAATCGTTTTGGGATGTTATTTCGGAGTGAGGCCTTTTCGGCAACATAAAGATTTTAAAACTCAGACATAAAATAAGAAAGTTATAGCAAAAACCGTAATTTAGCTGTTTTTAGCTGATGCCTAATTTATTACACTGACAAATGCTAAATTTTTGTTCGTGATACGCCTTAATGTACATACATATATGCTTACAATCGTTAGCAAATAGATAAAGTATTTGCTTTCTATTATTGACCAACTGAGTGTTCTCGGCTGAGACGTGCCAAAGTGGAGAAATAGAAACTAATTTATTCAAACATACTTAAATGAAATACATTTAGAGAGGAAATTATATTCAACAATTTTTATGAGCTTGAGGCCGTTTTTTGTGAAAACTTATTGTGGAAAAGCAACAATAATTTGAAAAAAAAATGGTAGAGGTGATAGCTATTTCGGAAATCACCACATTTCGTCATCAGACTTCTTTCAGTAGGATTCGAACCGACGATCACCACTGACTCAGCCAGTTGCCTACGCACTGTGCTAGAGAGGAAAGTAAAGTGACCAAGAGAGTGGAGCGACAACCAAATTTGTTTAACTGGTAAGTTTTTATTTATTTTCTTGTTGCTTATAAATATTTAGCAAGATACATACGTTATTAATTCTGTTTTCATATGGAATAGTAGCTTATGTCGGGAAGCTGGCTTTAGTATGATGTGGCATCATTACCTTTATTCTTTAAACGACAAGGAATTTTTTGATGAGACTTAATAATGATATGGTCTGGCTAGTATCGGAACTATTTCTTGCGCATTTATATG